AACTGACTCACAAAGATTCACACACATACTCAGCCCTCAATAACATTTTCAAACATCCTTTGGTGCTAAAATGAACATTTTCTTCGTGAATTTTAATTTCTAAAAGTCCAGACAGAACGAATTCCCTTCAGCTGAGTTTTGAGAGAGTTTTGAGCAGCTCAACACTCCCTCCTGCTGGGGCTTCAGGGAAATGAAACAGCAAGCAGCCGAAGATGGCAGTGGGAATAGATTGTGGGAGTGGGAGCTGGACATAAGGGGTAAATACCAGAAAGACTAGAGTGAAGTGGGACCAAGTGGAACTCTGAACTAACAACAGAAAATGCTGCAAATTCTCCACATTTCTGAAAAGAGGTCAGCACCCAAAAATATTAACTCTGTTCCTCTCTCATCAATCACTGATTCACCTGTTGAACAAATTCAGTATCTTTAGCTTTTTCAAGAAGCCAGAACAAGCACAAAGGGCTGAATGGCCTCTTGCCGCACTGTGTCATTCTCCTCCCTGCAGCCCTGTTCCAATTGTCCACACAAGTTTTTGGAGCGCTGCCCCTTTGTCAGGTGCCTGTGCACTTCCTTCCATTTCACCTGACAAAGGGGCAGCGCTCTGAAAGCCAGCTGAAATGCTCCCCCACTGGGAGGGAACATCCCTGTCTGGCGATTATAGCGCAGTGTCCATTCATCCATTCCCATAGCGTCTGCAATGTTTCAACAATATACCATGCCTCGGGGCATCCTCGTGCAGCGTACGAGATAGACAACATTGGCCACTTCACACGAGTATCTGCTGTGCACACATGGTGGGTGGTGTTCCCACGTGTGAGGGCAGTGTCCATGTTGATGATCTGACATGTCTTACAGAGATTATCACAACAGGGTTGTGTGGTGTTGTGGTTGATGGTGTCCTGAAGGCTAGGTAGTTTGCTGCGAACAATTATCTGTTTAAGGTTTGGCAGTTGTTTGAAGGTGAGAAGTGGAATCATGGGGAAGATCTTGGCGAGATGCTCATCGTCATCGATAATGTGTGGAAGGCTGTAAAGAACATAGAACCTCAGGCAGTACCTTCCAAACCCACAACCACATCCATGTGAAGGACAAGGGCAGCAGATACATGGGAACACCAGCCCCTGCAAGTTCCCCACCAAGCACTCACCATCCCTGACTTGGAAATGTATCACCGTCCCTTCAGCGTCACTGGGTCAAAATCCTGGAATTCCCTCCCTAAGGACATTGTGTGTATATCTACAGCACATGGACTACAGCAGTTAAAGGAGGCAGCTCACCACCACCTTCTCAAGGGCATTTAGGAACACCACACATGATGGAAAAATACTTGTAACCTGTTCATAGAACTATTCTGTCTATTTTGCCTCACACTTTGTGCAATTATAGATGAATCTGTAACTTTCACTCTCGCAAAATCATTCCCCAGGAGTAAATCAATTTTGAGGAGTCAGGAGCTGAGTTACTCACAGCGGTTTTCCAACCTTTCACCTGCTCTTGTCGCCACTGAACTGATCCATTGGTTGTGGGATCGCTTAGCTCTGTCTGTCACTTGTTGCTTTCGCTGTTTGGTGTGTAAGTAGTCCTGTTTGGGGGCTTCACCAGGTTGATACCTCATCTTCAGGTACGGCCTGGTGCTGCTCCTGGCAT